TTTGATTAGTTTTACTGATGTTTCTGTTGCCATATTCACTTTGCTAATGCTCCTTCAGAAAGTCTCAAGGTTAATTGGATGATTGCATACTATGTAAATAAATAATTTGCTCAAAACATCTTTCATTAATCTTGTCAATGGGTTACAAAATATTCCTCAACAGAAAATGGATGGACCTAGAAACAGATGGTTCTATGTCATTCTTTATCTACAAAACCAGTAGCTACCATAATCAATATTTGGTTCGTATTCTACAATATCTTCCATTTCTGGCTCTGGAACCACAAGCTGATAAAATATCTCGTTGAGCCGCTTCCTTCCTATTCTCTTCATGATCCTTCTTCGTTGTCTCATAGTGGCTTCTGAAGGATCCTTCTTGTAGGGTTGCTTTGGAGTTGCCGATGTTGCCTCATCTGAAGTAGGTTTTGTAAGAAGCACAGAGTCAGTAGTGGATGATGTAGAAACAACTTGTTTCTGATGTTTTTGGGTTTTTAGTCTTGTTGGATGCTTTGAGATCTCTGTTACCACATATTTCTTATTGATCTCAAATGATGACTCCATTACTCTTGAAGATGTTGTTTAATATAAACTAGGTGTTGGTCCTTTTTATTGTAGTTTATGAGTATCCTAATCATTGGAATAAGATCTCTTGCCTGATTCTTGAGACTTTTTTTGACTAACATCTAGTTTGCACAATCCTCAATGACCCTTTCTACCTGATTACTTTTCTTTCTTGGAAACTGATCAAGTAATGATGATCTGAATTGCATTAATTAGTGGAAAATATTTTCCTTTCCTTCTTTTCTTCTTTTTCTTTCTTTTATTTCTTTCTTTTTGATGTGACAAAAGGGGGAGAAGTAATAGTAAGTATTTAAGTGGAAACTGGATCCATTAGTACCCATTCAGTTGTACATATTGGTCATTTATTTTCTTGTTATTTACTTTCTATTTTGGTTACCTAGCCCAAAGCATATTTTAACTTCCTTGTACATAGGACTAAGTAAAAGCTTACAAACCTCAGACTTAGTCTATTAGACTCAGAAGGAGCATACAAACCTCGTATTCTGGTGTTGCCAAAGGAAGTTAAAAGGGCAACATATTTTAACTTTCTTGTACATAGTTCTGAGTAAGAGCTTACAAACCTCAGACCTAGCCTATCAGACTCATAAGTAGCTTACAAACCTCACATTCTGATGTTGCCAAAGAAAGTTAAGATATGATTATTTTGGTTTTCTTAAATATGGAACTGATGGAGAGCTTACAAACCTCAACCTTGGAACTGTTTGACTCAGTGGGAGCTTACAAACCTCAGACCCTGATGTTACTAAGAAGACTCATTTATTTTTTCTTAAAAAGTAGTTCTTAGTGTTAGAGTCAATATAACACAGCTTTGGACTATCAGACTCAAGGGGAGATTACAAACTTCATACCCTGATGTTGCAGAGAAAATTAAATGCCCAACATTGTCTTTTAAATACTTGTATTTGTCATCATCAAAAGGGGGAGATTGTTAGAACAAGATTTGTTCATGACATATTCTTGTATAGTTTTGATGATAACAAAAGTATTGAAAGAACAATGGTTTATTTGATGTGTGTTTTATTTATGCAGGTTCTTATACATAAATAATCAGAATCTGTTACTTAGACACACTTGGGAGTTGCTTCATTGCTAGCTTCTGGTGGCAGAATTTGAAGAACATTTGCTGGTGTGGCTTGGTGCAGACTCTGGTGCTGAAGGTCCAGTATTTAGACGAGTCACTACACTTGGAAATTGTATATTAGAATTTGGCACCACTCAGAGTTGGTGATAAACCTGGAAGTCGTCTGTACTGCAGAAAGCAAATTGTACAGTCTTATCAATTTATTAGTCAGATTGTAAGGCTCAAGAAAAGCTGACATGCTTTATGGATGACTACTTCTAATGGCTCTATCAGTACGAGAACCTCTTGAAGACTCAAAGGTTAAACATGTTACACACTGGATTCAGAATCTTTTATGCATCCATATTCAACGTCTCTTGTACTATGGGGCAAAGACAGACACTTGATCAAGTTACTTCCTCAATGACTAGTTTTCTGCCAAGGCTATAAATATGGCTGAAGGTTCTTACTAAACACAAGAACAAGGATTCTCCATATGAAGGAGTGGAAAGATCAAGCAATTATCAACTCTTGTAATATGTAGATTTTCTGTTTGTAGGTTGTAATTGTAAAAGCCTTAAGATTTCTTAAACATTGTATATCTTAGAAATCTTAAGTGTTTTAGGTATTTGTTATGGTGATTTCATGTACCTCTGATACTTGTATCATGCACACCTTGTTCTCTATCCTCCTGGGCCTGTTCAGCAGTTTAGATCAAAGTCTCTTGCTATGTGCTTGAGCAAAAGTCTTGTCTCAAATTTCTCCCCATCAAACATAGGGGGTTTAGTGTTGATTCTGTCCCTTTCTTCATACTTGTTGTTAATGTTAGACATTGAATTATCAGTCATAGTAACAACCAAATATATATCAAAGTTTTTCTCACTGGATCTTTTCTGTCACTGTGAAGTGGTAGCACACACAGAACCGGAGCTCTGATGCCAACTGAAGGTGAGAAAATACTTAGAAGGGGGGTTGAATAAGTATGAAGATAAAAACTTAGAAGTAAAAACTCACTTATTTTTATCCTGGTTCGTTGAACTCAACTACTCCAGTCCACCCTTACTAGAGTGATTTGCCTTTCTCAAACAAGGACTTAATCCACTATTTAATCAATTGATTACAATAGTAAGCACTAAGAACAACTGTTCAAAATCTTCTCAAGAACTACTGATCCTAACTGGATCTTCTTAAGGTTTTCTTACAATCAAATGTAATAACAAATACAAGTGTTAAAATGCTTCTAATAAAGCTTTATCACAACTGTGATTTTTCACTTAAGATTAAGAACAAAGAATTAATTCTAGCAAAAATATGAGTTGTATGAGAGCTTTGATAATAAATTCTTTTCAAGTGATTCGTCAACTGAAGAAGATGAGTGGAGACTTGCTTTTATAGGCACAGTGATCCAAGAGTATTTCACGTTGAGAAGTGTGTACCAAAAGGTCTGAGCCTTTTTGTCTTCACATCAAGTGACCTTTCCTAGAAGAAGAAAGCACAGAGAAATCCTTTTTGTCTGTGTTCTTGTGTCTAGCATAAATAAGGACAGAGTCGTTTGGATATTCCAACAGACATAATCTTTGAATTCTTCTTCAACAATTTTCAGCAAGAATCATCAGAGTCTAATTTGATTAAAGCCTTCTGATGTTGGTCAGAGTTTTGCTGAATCAGAGTCTTTGCAGCAAGTGTGCTTTTAGCGTGTATAATTTCAGAGCAGAGTTTTGGGTCAGATCCTCAGTATTGGCAGCGTTAGTACTTTCAGAGTCTTCTGAATTAACTATGCTTGAAAACTCTTCATACAGAATTCTTCATTACTTCAGATGCTTCTGACTTGCTTCAGATTCTTCTGGAGCTTCTGCTTCAGATCCTTCTGGAGGCAACGCTCAGGATCTTCTGATGGCAGCGTTCAGAATCTTCTAATGGGTGCATCTGACGCTTCAGAGCCTTGCATATTTCTTATGTTCAGATCTGATTTGCTTCTGGAGTGATATTTACTTTAATATCTGCAGCAAACATTCTTAAGCAAATTTTAGAGTCTATAATTCTTAATTACAAAATTTCATAATAGTTATCATCAAAACATAGAGATATTTTTAAGAACCAATCTGTGTTCTAACATGGGTTTAGTGACGTGTTAATGATTTATTCTATATCAGTTAATGATGTTTAATATCAATTAATAAAAAATAGTATATAGTTAATGAGTTATCTAATATGTGCATGGTAGTCAAAATCGCGATCCTACTCGTAGGATCATACGGTTTTACGATCTTTGATAGACTTGACGATCCTGTGAAGGCAAAAACTCAGATTTAGGTGGTAATAGTGGGATCGCAATGCAAAAACAATAGCAACAGTAGAATCTTCGTTTCTTCCGTTTCAGTTCTGAAACTTTCAAATAGAATTATTTTTAGCTGGAACCAGTGCAACATTTATTTCTCATTTAATTACAATTAAATTCCAATTAATTTCTTAAAACCTTTTCAATACACTCATTTTTCTAAAAACTTCCCAATATAGCCACCTACCTATTTATTCTCTAAACCTATTATCCTCACGTATTTTAAAATTTTTATAGTTTAAATATTCCTACATCACTTTTTTTTTTCTTATTCACAATCAGTATACATCCTTTGAACCTAGCCTTTCCCTTATGTACATATATCTTTTAAAAAAAATTTCCTTTAATTTGGATATGATTTGAATTTTTTTTACTAAATTATGTTTTTTTATATGAATATATATGTAATATATATAAGTTTGTGAATTGGTAGAGTCTTACTATCTGTGTTATGATACTCTGATTCACGATCTTGTGACCCCTCCCTAATTCCGCATAAGATCTCGATTTTGACTAGCTTGAATACATGAACTCAGTAACCAATCTCAATACACCATTACATACATTGGATTATCTGTGAAGTACAAGAAGATATGAATACAAGATTTTTGGATTCTATGCTTTCCATTCTAGTAATCAATACCTTGCTATAAATTTATATGGTGAGATGACTTTGATAATTGGTACCTGTTAGAATAAAAAATCAAATCCATAATCATTATTATTAGGATAGCATCTGTTATCTAATTTAGGCACAAAAAGAAAACACAAATTCAACAAGAACTTAAAACTAGCACCTTGTCAAAGAACATTGATTTGAAAGAAATCTACATTTTGACATAAATTTCTTATTCACCGCAACAGGTCTATGCATATGTTCCATAAAAAAAAAAATATATAAAGCATGTAAATAAGAAAAACAAAAGGAAGAAACATATAAAGACACTATACTCTTCTTTTTCATTTGTTATATAATAACTCTATGCACTAGAAAATAAATATCATAATATAAATTATCAGTCAAAACATCCATCTTGGTGAAGGAGAATGAAAAGCAGTTTGCCTGGATCTTGTTGGTTGCTCTGAGCCGTTACGTTTCATGATCGACGACACGGTTGGGCTGAAATACTCGTTGCTTCTCTGAGAAGTTGCTCCTTGTGAATGCATCTTCTTTACATTCATGAAGCTTCTTGGATTTTCAACCAGCATCCCGCGAGCAACTTGACTCCTTTTTGCAGCACCCCATCGATTGTGACTGACACAACTCTGACTTCTTCCCACTTGTTGAAAGTTTAGCTCTCTCGGACTCGTATAGTTACGGCTCTCTGCGGTTTCTGCGGAGTACATAGTCTCTCCGTCGCTAGTGTATCCGTCGTGCATTTGGGAAGCATCAACGGGAGATGAACTAGATTGAACCTCACTTAGAGCTCCGTTAACAGAACCTGTTGAGGAAACTTCTGCAATGGGAGTTGTTGCTGGCATTCGCATTCTGTCTTGGTTTTGTTCTCCTTTTGACTGGTTTTCATGCAGAGGTTCAGCAGGTTTCGGATGCAATTCCTTCGGCGGTTGCGAGAAAACTGCAGGCTTGGCAATCCTTGGGGGAAAATTGATGTCTAAAAGTTGTATTTGTGCATTTTCTTTCTTTCTGAGTGGCACGGAAGTTACTCTAGGTGATTCGTATATTTCTGGAGTTGGAATCCCCTGTATATGTGCAGCATTAGGGTTCGTAATCAAGTTTTCTTCTTCGGCAGTGCTCCCGACAGCAGCCGAACTTTGTCCTTGATCTCTTGTTTTTACGACATTGTTGTTTGATGAAGATGAGGTGCCCTCATTATCACCATCTGTCGATTTGAAAACTTGTCGCAAAGTGAAGGAAGCGCATGAGTGTTCACTCCTAGGACCATTAGACATCAACCGCATGAGCGGTAATTTAGGCTTGTTAAGCTCATCAAGGTTACCTTCCCAATGCTGATTTAACCAATCACATATGACAGGAATCGGTATACCAAATTGCATTGGGAGATCCTTCTTCCACAACGAGGAAGACGATGTAGAAGTTGAAGGCGATTTTGTATTCGGCGACGTGGATAATTTCATAGGATCACATATCATAAAAGCTAGATTGCCATTGACATCAAATCCTGCAGAACCCGGACTCCATATAATTCCATCGGTACAGAGTTTTATGAGATTGTCAGTCGCTATGACGACCTTTCCTTCACCAACAGTGAGCTCTTGTTTCTTAGTATAACCTAAAAGGTACACTACACTTCCTAGATCAAGATTTGTTTTACAACAGGTCTTCAAGTAGTGAGAGTTTTGACCCGGCGCGTTTGATTCTCCGTCCGCATCATCTAAACCCACTATTGTAAGATCTAACACAGAACTTGTAATGAAAAACCTGAAACCAAGTCAAAACAAAAAAAATATCATGCACTTTTAACATTATAAATATCAACTTAGACCATATTATAGCGTCATTATAGCATTATAGCGTAGCAGAATTTGAACAAACCGCTATTTTCTCCAATCTGCGATTAACATTAATGTTCTATCAATCGACAACAGATTGCAATAACTGTTATTACATTATAAAACAAGGAAATATCTACACTTAACTACTATTTCGGTCCGCTAACACCTGCTAGTTCGACTTTAAGCAGATTAAAGTCTTAAAATAAACATCTAAGGCTCCATACTTTTACAGTTGGTTGTTCTATTATAGGTAACCTAATTTTCAATAGGATGAGGGTGTAATATGCCAATATGCAACAAACAATTAATATAGTATAACAAATAACATGGATGACATGATACTTGTTTGCATCATATATAGAAATTACCTTCTGTGTATGCAATAAATTAAATCTGCAACCACATTTCGTAGATAAAGTGAACAAATATTTGGCACAAGCATGCCACATTATCCAAATACTATAAAAAGAAATAAACAACAAAAAATTTCAAACTTACCTGAACTGGAGGCATAAAAAAAGTCAGATACATGAAGAAGCATGTGTTGAAGAATATGTTGTATAGTAATAAAGACAACAAGAAGAAGGATATTGTACTTTCAAAGACAGTTCAAAAACAAACCTAAGTTGCGTTAAAGTTTCCCAAATAATGTTTTAAAAATCGAACCAGACAGTTCAATCTGTATAACGGTGAACAGACATTGTCTACAGTTTGGTTATGTGAGCTATTCGACTGCGTTTTTTTCGTTCGATCTGCGCCTATGAAGCACAAACAATACGACTCCAACACTAAAACATCAACATTGATAATAATTTGAAAACATTTAAATAAATTAAACGTTATCACAAGTGTCAGTATTGGTTTCGGACACCGACCCGGGTACATACACACTTTTTTTCAGAGGTGTCGATCTTACGTAGACATGCCCTGTTTAAATCAATTGAACCGTGATCTAAAAGTCTCACCGGTTCGGCTTTTAAGACATTGGTTCAACTTTCAAACATTTAGAAATGAATTTCACGCCAACTTTACCAAATTAACTGCATAGCTAACCAGATTCTAGAAACAAAATTAAACACAAAAGTGAACAAACTTCTACTCTTCTACCTCAATTGGGGTCTAATCTTCCACTAAACTACCCTTCCTAAGTTCTATTCCCACCCCCTAAAAAAACTATCAAATCCACAAAAACAAAAAGCACCCCATTTCATTTTCTAAAATAATACCAACAGTTTCATCAACTAAAACAAAATAACATAAGCAAAAACAAACGGGGTGTTACCTCTGAGGAACAAGAGTAGCCGCAACACCATTATGCAAGCGGATCTCAGAGCTAGCAGCGGCAACAGCAGAAGGAAGATTAGCATGAGTTGTCAAAAGAAGGTTCCTATGAATAAGAAACCCAGTTCCAGAAACAACATTAACAACATTGGTGTTACTAATTGTAGCTAAAGCTTGGTTTTTTCCTGAAAAAATAGCACCTTTCATTCTCTCTGACTTACTCACCCCTTTGCAAAAACACCATGATTCTCTAATACTACCACCACCCATGACCCTTTTTGTAGGCTAGAAAGAGTAATGGGTTGTTAAAAAGGTTGGATCTAATCAATGTAGCATCCAAGTTTCAATGGAGTTCTCTAATAATAACGAAGAAGAGAAGAAAGAGATAATGTGAAAGTGTAAAAAATAGAAAGAAAGAGAAGAAGAAAAAGTGTAAGAATGTGAAATTGGAGTTTTAAGAAAATGGAAGAAGTTGAGGAGTTTTTGTTTGTTCCAAGTTATCTTAAGACAGGGGAAGTTTTGAAGACATTGAAAATGATGGTGATGATGATGAGATGAAGTGAAATGAAAATGGCTTCATTGAAAATATAAAAAAAGTAACTTTTCTATTTTCTATTTTTTTTTCTCTTACATAATTATATATAGGAGGAGGTGTAAAATAAATGTTTAATGTACGTACAATTTTTCTCTCTCAAGAAGTTAAATGGTTTTTACTTGATAAAAGTACAATCTTGAAAATTTACTCTATACTACATTATTTATTATTTCTATAAAATTTAAGTGTTTTTATGAAGAATATTATTACAACTCTGTCTTTAAGTATATGATTCTTTTATATAAAATAAATAAATTAGGAAGAGCATTATCACTTCTTTACTACTACTATTGTAGTTAATATATTTTATTTCTTTTCAACATTTTAGGATGATGTAAATAGGTCGGTTTAGATCGGTCAAAATTAAAATCTAAATTATATAGGATATATCTGAACGAGATAAAATAATCATTCATCATTGAACTAATTTAAGTAAACTCATAGATTTATATGTTGGATTGGATTGTCTAATGGGTCTCCCATTTTTTTCTTTTTTTTTAATAATTATAAATGATGTGTCAAATTTTTTTAAAAAAATACACCAGCTATTTGTTATTCAAAAATAATTTAGTCTTATTAGTATTATTCCTTTAACATCAAATACCTAAACATTTTTAAAATTTATAATAAAAATATTTATAAAAAAACAAAGTTGTATTAATGCAATATCTAGAGCTAGAATTAAATAAATTACTAAAAACTTACTAATATTAGCAATAAAATAATTAAAATGCAATATCTTAAATAATTCAAAATTCATGACTCACAAAGTAAGAATCTAAAATTAGAGCAATCAGATAGGAATACATCAAAGTCATTATTCATTAAATTATAAAAATCAAAAATTAAGAACATTATTTAAATATCCTCTATTATTTAAAAAGAAGTCTTTTCTTCAACGTTAATATCTTCAACAAAATTCTAATGATAAAAAAATATAAATAATGATTTATATACAAATTTATTAAGAGACCTAAAAAAACAAAAATATATAGTAGTTAATGATAAAATTTATGTGTTACGTAAGAATGAGTTTTATGAGTTTGATCTCCAAAACCAAATTATTTTAAACATTTTTTCATTTTTGAAAATTACACTGACCCACTTACCCGTTCAAAATTATTGGTTTGAATGAGTGAGACCAAATTCAGTGAATTTACTCGATGCATATACACCTCTAATTCTCTATACTACTTTTATCTATAAAAAAATAAACACGTTTCATAATAACAACTAAATTAGCATAAAAGACTTGGGACGTTATATAAAATAGCAAAGACAGACACTTTAGCATATCAATTGATGTATCCATCTGTAGAATTTCATTTAAGTTCTACCAGGAATAATAAAATAATAAAATTCTATTTATTTGAGAATAAAAAAGTTATTTAAAATTTAAATATAAATTAATTGAAGAATAATTAGACAATAATAACATTAAATATGATATAAATAAATAATTTTTACAAATGAACTAGCAGGTCATGAAACAAGTATTGAAGCCACAAAATTTCACAAATGATATAGGCCAAATCACGATATTCAACCTCAATGGAGAATATTGAAACCATGTGTTGCTTCTTGGATTTCCAAAATAAAAGAGAGGAACCCAACATTACACAATAACAGTGACAGACTTTTTGGTATCAGGACACTTAGCCCAATCCGAGTCAGCAAATCCAAAAAGCTGCAATTTGCTAGAAGAGGAGAAAAGGATGCGTATAGTAGGGACACATTTTAGGTACCTGAGAACATGTATTGTAGCTTGGTCATGAGGCATACGTGGTTGAGAAATATATTGAATCAAGTGTTGCACTGCAAAGGATATATCTGGTCTTGAGTTAGTGAGGTAGATCAATGTACCAATTAATTTTCTATAAGAAGAAGGTTCTTCCAAAGGAGGACCTTCATCAATGGACAGCTTGGTAGTGGGATTAAAGGGCACTACAAATGGTTTTGCTGCAAGGAGGCCAGCATCCTCTAATAGTTCAAGTGTGTATTTTCTTTGATTAAGAAAGATGCTAGCCTGTGATCTAGCAATTTCAAAACCTAAGAAGAATCTCAACTGACCAAGGTCTTTGATTTTGAACTGTTGATCCAGAAGATGTTTAACTTTATGAATCTCAAATATGGAATTACCTTCCAAAACAACATCATCTACATATATCAATAATGCAGTAAATTCATGATTGGCATGTTTAACATATAAAGAATGGTCAGCCTCAGATTGCTTATAGCTAAGAGAAACAAGGAATTAGGATAACTTGGAATACCATTGCTTGCTGACCTGTTTGAGGCCATATAGTTACTTTTGTAACCTACATATGTTGGATTCACTAAAGCCAGATAAACCTGGAAGAAGAGTCATGTATACCTCTTCATGTAAGTCACCATGGAGAAATGCATTGTTAACATCTAACTGCTCAAAGTACCACCCCTTAATGGCTGCTAGAGATAAAAGAATATGAACTGTGGTAATTTTGGCAACAGGGGAAAAGGTATCAAAATAGTCAATACCCTTCGTTTGTGTATAACCCTTTGCCACCAACCTAGCTTTGTATCTCTCTATAGATTCATTTGCCTTGTGTTTAATTTTATAGACCCGTCTGCATCCAATAGGGGTTTTTCCATGAGGTAGATCAACCACATCCCAAGTATGGTTTTCTGCAAGAGCAAGTAGTTTAACATCCATGGCCTTTTTCCAGCAGTCATGTTTAATGGCTTGGTTAAAGGTTTTTGGTTGAATATGGGATGAAATAGCATAACAGTAGTATTTGTAAGATGGTGAACAATTGTCATAAGAAATGACAGATGAGAGAGGGTAAACAACATTAGGATTTGTGGTTTTGGTTGATGAAGGATTGTGTGTGATATTTAAGCAGCGATAATTTGCTAAATAACTAGAAGGGTGTGTAACACGGGTAGACTATCTTAAAGGAGGACCAGATAAAGTGTTATCAAGTAAAGGAGGATTAGGATGAGCAGGTCCAGCTGTAATGACCTGTGACTGTCCATTGGGTAAAGATAAAGGTGTAGGATGGTGTCTGGAAGGAGTTCTAATTGGAACAAGACTGACATTTATGGGAGGTAAAGACTAGACATAAAGGTGTCCAATGTAGGTGTAAGACTAGTCTGAGAAGTAGCAACACCAGGATGTAAAGGGGAATATGATTCATTAAGGTTATCATATATGACATAATTATGAGGGTCAGGTTGTGTATTAAAGGATGATACATCAGGCTTGGTATTTGAGGATGATACATGAGGTTTAAAGGGAAAGTGTGTTTAATAGAATTTCACATGTCTAGAAACAAAAAGGTTATATTTTGTAAGTCATACAACATGTACCCTTTAGTTCCTTCCTTAAATCCAAAGAAAATAGCCTTTCTAGCCCTAGATTCAAAATTTGTTCTATGAGCCTATAAAGTAGATGCAAAACTTAAACAACCAAAGACTTTCAAGTGAATTAAGATGGGGGTTTTTTGATGTAAAAGATCATATGGACATTTAAGATTTAGTAAAGGTATGGGCAACCTGTTAATAAGGTCATGCTGAATACAAAAATTCGACATATTTAAGGGAATAGAAGAATGAAAGAAAAGAGTCCTAGCTACATTCAATATGTGTTGATGTTTCCTCTCTACCACCCCATTTTGTTAGGGTGTTCAACACAAGATTTTTTATGAATAATCCCTTTAGATAGAAAAAATTCAGTAAGAGAAATAAACTCAGTCCCATTATCAGATCTTAGGCATTTTAGGGATGTTTTTAATTGATTTTCAATGTGAGCTACAGACTAGATAAGACTATTTTTAGTTTGAGCTTTGGATTTAAGGAATATGATCCAAGTGTACCTAGAATAGTCATCTACCAAAGTCAAAAAATATCTATGACCTAATATATATATATATATATATATATATATATATATATATATATATATATATATATATATATATATATATATATATATATATATATATATATATATATATATATATATATATATATATATATATATATATATATATATATATATATATATATATATATATATATATATATATATATATATATATATATATATATATATATATATATATATATATATATATATATATATATATATATATATATATATATATATATATATATATATATATATATATATATATATATATATATATATATATATATATATATATATATATATATATATATATATATATATATATATATATATATATATATATATATATATATATATATATATATATATATATATATATATATATATATATATATATATATATATATATATATATATATATATATATATATATATATATATATATATATATATATATATATATATATATATATATATATATATATATATATATATATATATATATATATATATATATATATATATATATATATATATATATATATATATATATATATATATATATATATATATATATATATATATATATATATATATATATATATATATATATATATATATATATATATATATATATATATATATATATATATATATATATATATATATATATATATATATATATATATATATATGTGTAGTAGAAAAGGGCCTTCGCACACCAGCATGTAATATCTCAAAAGGAGCAGTAGTAATAGTTGTGCT